ATTAAACGTGAAATGCGTTGAAAGATAAGAAACATTTGAAAAGCTACTAGTGAATTTCTGTCGGAAATTTTTTAGAAATTTCCGAAATAAAACTGTTTGACAGCCTCAAATACTGCGCTCTGATTGGTCGAAATCCGATTGGGAAAAATAATCACCTGAAATTTCCGGTAAGGGTCTTGGAAATTTCTAAGAAGTACCGTGTCCACTGAAATTTCAAGGAATTTTGTCATCAAAAAATCATAATTTTGTAGTTTGTTTCGGTATGGTCCTCGATTACTATGTTCACATTGTAATTTTATTTTTATATTAGAATGGATCCTCGAAAATTGAAAGCTCTTTTCCTCCGTGTTTAATCGAAATTAAACGCGATCCATTCAAATCTTTTGTTCGTCATTCGTTCATCGAAAACAGTCTGTCTCACCTCATTCCTCTCTATTTTCTATTATTTGCTTACCATTACATAAGAACAATGGTCTAAAATTTGTTTAATGCAAGTGACACTGTTCTTAATTCAATCGAAATTTCCTTAATTAAAAACAAAATGAAAATTCAACATGCATAATGTAAAAAAAATGTTCGAAAATGTAATTTTTCAAAAACCAATTTCATTGCACAGCCTGTCTCCCTTGAAAATCCTCAAAAGCTGGAGAATCCGAGGGAATATGGCTTCAAACGACTGCTGATAAAATTGTTCCAAGTTGAAAAAAAAATTGAGATAAAACGAAAGAGGAAAAATTTATTACGCGAGTTGTGGGTGAGACGTAACTCCACGAGCAGTTCGCAATAAAGCCGAATCACCTCTATAAATCCTGGGGAAATCCCTAAGAAATTATGTCTGTCCCTCAAGACTAAACTGGCGAGCTGGTGTCCGTGTCAGACGTGGTGTAGTCGGTCGACGGTGAAACTTTTCAAAAACCCCTTCGAAACCTCAGTACGACGTGTTTTGTGTTTTATAATATTGTATATAGGGTTACGGTGGCGAGAGGGTTGACGGGTGGAATGGAAGGAGGGATGGGGCGGTGTGGGTTGCATGGAACGCCGGCTATTGGAAGCACGTGACGCTCGTACATTCCCGTCTGTGGCAACAAACCCCGGTCCAATCGTTTTTGAGTTATTCTAAACAGAGTGGCTCGTGGTCTCTCCGTCTCTCCATCATACCTTCATTTTACCTGTTTTTGATTTTTAAAGGAAGTGAGAGCGTCATTCATTTTCAATTTGTCTGTTTTTAAGGTTTAAAAACATCTTATGCAGCTTTAGAAAATTTATTGGAGGTATTCTATGCCAAACGAGTCAACGGCTGACTCTCACCCTTTTGGATATTGATCTCGATTTTTTTTACGATTGGGGGGCTAGAGAAACTATCTCTCAATTTTTTTCAGAATTTCTCGGCAGCCCATTTCGGAGATGTGATTTTTTCTTTGTCTTTTTGTTTTTTTTTCAATAACTCGGGCTCTATTAAGCCGATTTTAATTTGGGACCGCTCAAAATTTTCCATTTTCTACCACATATAAGAAGGTTTTGAGAAATTTTTTTTTCAGTCCATAGGTGCTCATAATAACGAATTAAAAAAAAAATTGAAAAACTTGAATTTTTAAAATTATGTCATCTTTTTTTTTCAGTAACTCCTATAATCAAAACAATTATTTTGAGCTGTCATACAAGTTAGGTTTCGCCCTGGATCTTTTTTATTTTTAATTTTTTCTTCTCGAAATTTGGCGAATTTGGTCAAAACACCCCAAAACGACTTCGATTATGGACCAAAAAAATATGTAACATATAAGTATAAATTTAAAATCACTTTATACTGTTAGTAATCAAAGTCAATCAACGCCATTTTAGGGTATTTTGACCAAATTCATGGAATTTTGAGAAGAAAAATTTGAAAATAAAATAGATCCAGGACGAAACCCGACTTGTATGACGTCTCAAAATACTTGTTTTGATCACAAGAGTTACTGAAAGAAAGACGAGAAAACCAAAACGTGAGGTAAGGTTGAAAATTCAAGTTTTTCAACTTTTTTTTTGAGAATTCGGTATTATGAGCACCTAGCGGTTAAAAAAGATTACTCAAAATATTCTTATAGATGGTAGAAAATTGAAAATTGTGACGTCATGAATGAAAATCAAATGAATAGGACTGGAGTTATTGAAAAAAAAAACGAAAAAACAAAGAAAAAACCATATCTTCAAAATGGGCTGCTAAAAAAATCTGAAAAAAATTCAGAAATAGTTGTTCTAGTCCCTCAATTGTAGAAAAATCGAGATCAATTTCCAAGAGGGTGGGGTCAGCCGTTGACTCATTGGACACAGAATACTTCATTGAGATTTGAGTGAATTGAATTCCACCTCTTGCTAGGATGATTCGATATCAATAATTGAATTTCTAATTAATTGGGCTGAATTATTTATTTCATATGATCAGATGATATTTTAAATTTTCAACGAAAATGTCAAAATGAATAGAAAAATTTCAAACAAAGCATTTTATTAAAGTCAAATTCTTTATGGCTCTGAATGCCTTCTCATATCGAATTAAAGTTATTATTACATCTTTTAATAACGAAAAATATTGAAATTTTCTTGAAATCTATCATTGCTGTAGAATCATTTTATTTTAATCATTCCACTGAATTTGAATGAAAACAATTTTTTTCTCCATTTTTTCATTCCCATTTTGCATTTTAAATCGACTCCAATGTTAATTTTTTTTTTGCTCCAAAAGAAAAATATTTTTTCAGTTTAAATTCATGGCAATAATGGACAGATCAATTCCCTCTACTGTCCATCCGAACTTTCTCTTTGTAATCTCCGTCCCTTTTTCGTTCGATTTTCCCCCCTCTCATTTTTTTTCATCCAACGCGCCCAATTTTTTCCTCTCGCAAAGTCCACGCGAGAGTCTAGGGTAAATGGCGTGCGATTGCATTCGCGTTTAGCTTTCACCTCGATTTTTATTTTTTTTATCATTCATATTCCTTTCTTTTTCATCCATCTAGACCACCTGCCTTCGGAGCGTGGAATTTTTAACAAAAAGATTTTTCCACGAACGAATGTACAGGTTGAGCTTTTCCACTCGCTAATCGCCGTACACTAGAAATCGGTGTGACACTCAATTTGCGGCCAAGTGACTCGTACTGATGGAAACTCCTTTTTTTTCGAAAATAAATATCGAAAGGAACGATCGGACATTTCAATAAAAATCCTCAGAATTGGCTGCATCCTTTTAAAACAGTGTATTAAAACAATTCGACGTTCCAATTAGCGGATTAAGGGGAGACTACTGTGAGTTTTCAAAGTCGCGGGCTATTGGAATGAGATTTCTCATACATTGAAGATTGATTATATATGTCTAAAAATGTAAAATCTCTCCATATTATAAAAATTCAAATCGACTTCTGGTCGATCATAAAAATTTGGTACTCGAAATTAAGACTCCAAAATTAAAGGTCATGAGGGTCAGAATAAGGGTCACAAGGATCAGATTAAGAGTCACACATTTCAGAGTAAGGGTCTAAATAAGGGTCGTAGGGTTCAAAAACCAAGGGTCAGAATCTAAGGGTCACCCGGGTCAAAGTAAGGGGCACGAGAGTTATAATGAGGGTCAGATTACGAATCCAAATAAGGATCAGAAGGGTTAGATCGAGGATCGCAGTCAGATTAAGGGCTCAAATAAGGGTCATGGGGGTCAGAAACTAAGGGTCACAACGATCAAAAGCGGGTCTCTATACCCCTCCATATCTCCATCTCTGTACATTATAAAAATTCAAATCGACTTCAGGTGATAAAAAATTGGTACTTGAAATTAAGATTTCACAAGTAAGGGTTGCAAGGGTCAGAATATGGGTCATGAGGGTCAGGATAAAGGTCACGAGGGTCAGATTAAGGTCATAAGGGTCAAATTATGGGTTACGAGAGGTATAATGAGGGTCACGAGTCAGATTAAGGGCCATAATAAGGATGATGGTGGTCATATGGGGTTTGGCTAGGGGCATAGCCCCCTAGTTAGTGCAAAAAAAAAAAATTCTTCATTGTTCGTTTGCCCCACAGACGCTTAAAATGTTAAAAATAGTCCAGGGCCTCCAAATTTTGAGCTACAGAAGTTTTTTTTTAAATTTTTTGAAAAAGTGTGTACAGTAGCAATTACGAATTAGTTTTTTATCTAATTTCATTTTTTTAAAGTAAAAAAGTGCACTATTTATGTAAAATAGCCCAAAAAATGTTTATGAAAGAATCGAGAATATATTTGAAGTAATCTAAGGATAATTTTTTTGCCTATTTTACACGAATGGCGCAAATTTTTATATTAAAAAAACCAAATTAGCTGTGTAGGAGGCGAATTTCAAAAAAACTATTTCGTCATTATTATTGTACACATTTTTTCACAAATTTTGAAAAACAAACCGTAGCTCAAAAATTGGAGGACATGGATTATTTTTAACATTTTAAGCGATTGCAGGGCAAACGAAGAATAAACAATGAAATTTTTTGCACTAATTATTCGTTTTTAGACATATATAATCGATCTTCAATGCATGAGAAATCTCACTTCAATCGCCGACGACTTTTAAAACTCATAGTATTCTCCCCTTAATCAATGATTCAGGTAACGGAAATTATGTTTTTTTTTTGGTTTTCAGAGAGAGAAAGACACGACAACATTTACAATACCAGCATATGCAGACACCTTAACTCTTGACATGATAAATAATAATCACCATACATGTAACACGGTCTGAACCCTCTACCCCTCACCCTCTTTACAGCAATCTTACCTCTTAGTGAAATGTTAATGACTGTAGTTTTCAAGTTGGGATACGTTTTTATATGCAACCCAGTTGTTTCTAATGACTGTACATGTTATGTTTCTTAATGTGTATCTGTATTTATTATGCCGAAGTTGCCCGATGATATAACAATCATGATACAAAATACATACATAATGGAAATTATTCACTGGAATCGTTGTGACATTTTAATCATACGAGTTATTTTTCTGTTTTCAGCTGCACAGATTCCACAACGAGGAAGTAAGTAGTCTTATTCAATCGGTTTTATAACTAATTGTGATATGTTGATTCGTTAGATTTATTGGTTATACCTCTGAATATTATTCGGACAATTGGGGCTTCGCAAGTAAATTCTTTGTTACTGAATGGGGAAGTGAAGGGAAAATAGTTGACATGTGGTTTTTTTTCGTAAATGAGGGAAAATTGATAGTTGGGACGAAATAATGCAGACATTCCGACTGGTACGAACTACTTCACTTTTTATGATTAGAAAATCAATAAAAAATTCGTGTCGAATAATTCAATCTCATTTTTTTGGAGATATTTGTTCCTTTCAGAAGTGAATTTGTGTCTATTTTTTTAAGAAGACTGTTGGAAAAAATTTGAAACTGTATCGACAGTTGACTATCAATTTTTGGGAGTGTGAAATTTCAATTAATTGAAAATTGAAAAATCTATTTACCGGGATTTTCTATTTTTTTAAATTTCAATGCGACTGTCATTTCAATGTCATGGGATCATGACATTTTAAATGGCAACGAAATTTCAATGAAATTCCACATTTTTGAGTAGTAAAAAAATGAGAATTCCCCATCTTACTTCAATTTTCAATCAAAACATGACTATTCAGTACCAAATCACGCTGAATTATCCTTACTTCTATTCATTTTCATGAAATGATTGAACTGAAGTTCACAATTTCCATTGATTTCTCCATAAAATTGTCAATATTCAATGCCGAAATTCCTAGAAATTTCAGTGAAACTCTAATGTGATAAAACTTCCAAAAATTGTACTAGAAATATCAGTCAAAAACGTTCAACAGTAGAATAACAAATTAAATCAGCCCTCATCATACCTCAAGACTCCCAACGAGCCCCCGAATAAATATTGAACAATATTTAGAGGTGAAAACCAATTCACTGATCACATTGTATCCGAAAAATCGCGAGTTATCGAAGATCACGACTTGGTTTTAACTTTAAACTCATTTTAATTCATTTAATTGATTGAACACTGAGGTTTCACAACTAATTGTCAATTTTTAATAAATCGTTGCAGCTTGCAAGAGGAAAGACGAGATGGCGAGCCAGGCAGAACACCAACAGCCCGCCCCCAAGAAACCGCGGTTGGTTTTCACAGACCTTCAGCGCCGTACTCTACAGGCTATTTTTAAAGTAAGTCTGCCCCCTTCTCCTTTCACCCTCGTTATCTGTAATTCCTCTCCTGTCTCATCACTCATTACCCAACGATGCCCCGCATTTACTTGCGTAAATAAGAGAGTGAAGCGCAGTGGGAAAGAGACAGAGGGGACATAGAAACCTCAATTGCCAGTGCAAATCGATTTTTCGTATTTGTTCTGGCTGCCGGAGAGTCCCCGAAATTCTCATCACCTGTTGCACACACACAACTCCTAAACAATGCTCAAGTGGATTATCCCGAGCATGCAAGTGATCATCGCGGTTTGTGGAATCCGCGTGGACGAGTGTACTCGGTGACACTTGAACAGAAAAGAATAGAAAAAATAATGAAAGATAGGGTTGGAGGGGGGGGGGTGGAGTGAGGAGGGTCTTTGCAGTCTGTTGCGGACTGGAGTTGAATTCCGGGGAAAGTTACACGGAGAGAAAAGTTGGATAAGAATTAGCTCGAAAATCGTGGCGATTTTACGAGGGGAGGTTGGGGCAAAACGGACACTTTTGACTTTTTGAAAAATGTTAATAAGGGGTTGAAATGTTGATAAAATTTAATAATTTTTTTTTTCAATACAAATAACAATTCTTTCCTTTTGTGGCGAGCCTAAACTGACCTCAATTCATAAATTTATTTCTGACTTATGAATAATTTTAAAAAAGTCTAAAGTATCCAATTTACCCCACTCTTCCCTATACGAATGGCTATCGTGGAGCGAAATGTAATTCAGTGATAAAATACTGGCTTTTAGTGGATATCTTACGATTTTCTCGGTTGAAAAATACATCTATGGATGCAAAAATTATCCTCCTGTTTAGTAAAATTTTCCACACCGACAGGGGATTGTTTGTTTTGTACCCGTCTGAAGGTCATGGGGACGGACGGAAGTGAATTGTTACCAAACGGATTCGGTAAAAATCATTCTCCGTTACAGATAAATTATACGGAAAATTGGAGCAATTATTCACGATCACTGGGATAATTTTGGGATACAGGGTAAATTTTACAGTTTCGGTACAAATCACCCTCACGTTTAGTAAATTTTCCCGGGACAACGGAGTAAAATTCATTATTAATCTCACACTTTTTTTCCTAATTAAGGTAAAAAAGTACGGGAAATCGAGGTTGCTCCACGATTACTTGACTTGTTTAGTACTTTTTCTCCAACTTTTTTCTCCGTGTAGACTGGTTTTTATGGGAAAGATCGACTTGATTACACGGAGAGAAGAAATTAGCTCCGAAAAAGTATGTGTTCCACGCGAGCATATTTGATGAAGGAGACCACATTCACGTGGAAGAAATTAACCAATTTGATAGATGAAAATTTAAGATCGTTTACGAAAATTAAATTTTTGTCATGACCATTGAAAATATCTTTAGAAGAATTCAGTGTCGGAAGGAAATAATATAATTTGTTGTACACTGTTCAAAAATTTTCCACTGAAGTTTCCGGTAAGATTTTCGGAAACTTCTCACAAGTAATATTTCCACTGAAATCTCAAAGAATTTTGTCATCGAAAATTCCTAATTTCATGGAAAAATCAGTGGGAACTGCAAATTTTAGGTTAATTACTCCGGGGAAATTAATGAAATATCAGGAAAATTTAGAGAAATCTCCTTGAATTCCATATTTCTCTAAATTTTCAGGGAATTCCGTCAAAAAATCCTGGGATTCTTATAATTTTAAAGGTATTCCCTAAAAATTCAGGTAAATGTGGAATTTTCGTCTTTCTGTCGTTAAAAAATGGGACTTTACTTGAATTTTCAGGGAAACTTGAAATTCCATTGACTTTTTCCCCTTAAAACGAACGAAAGATCTTTTACTGAAAAATTCCGCCGAATTTATTTAACTCAGGGAGAAAGAAAATGACGATGGAAAATGATGATTTGGATGAAATGTCAAAAAATGACGATTTGGATGAAATGTCCGATGTAAGAACCCTCTAAAAATATTCTCACGTCATTTAATTTTTATGGAAAATTTAACAATCAAGAGTTTTAAAATCTCTGGTGTGATCTGACAGGGCACTTGACTAACGTTGGACCCAATTGGAATATTGAAAATTAGCAAGTAATTATTCTCCGCGGGCAAGAATTGGTATTAAGTAGAATGAAAAAAAATATATATAACTAATTCAACTTTGCACTTTTAATTGATGCATATGAAAAATGCACTCTCATCGATCCCCAGTATAGAGAGGCATATAAGAAATTTCGTAAAACGAGACTGAAATATTCTCGCAGTCGGTGAAAACTTCGAAACTAGGGTGGTTACGTTTGAATAACCAAATACGTTGCAACTCTGTCATGTATTCCTGATTTACCTTCAGCTGGAAGAGGCTAATAATAACTCATCCTGGAGGCAAAACTCATACTCCAGGATGCGAATAAAAATACAATGCCGGTGAGGGGGATATAGGTATAAAAAAATGATGTGTAAACAGAGGGAAATACTCGGGGAGTAGTGCTCCCACTTGAATCGTGCCTCTCGCGTCAAGCAAGAGTCGAACTATCGATCGGTCTTGAATAATTTCGCGACTAGCTCTTTAGCCTACACCCAGCATTTCAGTTGCACTATTGTTAAGCCGGTGCTAGTCGCCATGTTATGGGCCGAGTTTAGCCCTAGCCCTGTATTGTCCCAGTGAAATTTTACCTCAAAACCTCGCCACTTTCGAATCCGTAAGAAATTCCTGAGAACAAAGACAATAAACATTTTCGTGTGTGTGACAATCGAGAAATATCACTTTTTTTCTATCAAACAAACAAATCCCAGCGATTAATTACACTTGATTGAGAGTCATCAAGTTCGGTTGAATGTAAAGGAATTGAAAATTATCAATTCATTGGAAATTAACTGGAGTTTATTGAGATAGTACAATAATGTTCGAAATTTTTTCCATAAACTTTTTTTTTAAACTACAGTTCTAATGGGATTTCAACGTAACTGGGGCAGTTTTTTCGCTTTCGAAGTATAATCTCCAGTTTTATTTTGAATATAATGACACATATTACACAATCAATTCCCTCAAATGAATTGATCTAATCCGAATGACCGAATCGATTCCAAAAGCATGAGAATTGCATCAAAATTATTTGAAGACGCCAATAATTGATAATTAACGTCGATTTAATCGATTGTTTTCAATAATCATGTTGTACAATCATCAAGCTGTACTACTTCAATCAGGAAATGAAGATCATCGAGAAATGTCACTTTTTTTCTATCAATTAACAGATTCCAGCGATTAATTTCACTTGATGGAGACTCATCAAGTTCGGTTGAATGTAAAGGAATTGAAAATCATCAATTCATTGGAAATTAACTGGAGTTTATTG